ATTACTGATGTTATTTATTTATTTTATTATTCTCCTCCTGCTTCCTGCTGTTTATACACAGGCAGCTGGGAGTTTACAGGAAGCAGGGAAAAGGCTGCAGCCTCCAAAGCCGCTAAGTTTTAAGAGTGTGACCGGGAGGGGGGGGCAAATTGCACTCGAGCGATAATCTACACAAATCCCCCCTGCGGCTCAAGCCCCCTGCTGACACCGCGACGCCGATTATTTCATCCGCTGCTCAAGGATCATCTCCCGCCGGCCGCGCAGGAGCGAGAAGGAGACATGATGGAGATAGAAAGCGTTCTGTTAATGGGTGTGCTTCCTTCCCCCACATCCTCCTCCTCCTCCTCCCCACCTCCTCCCCCCAAATTAAACGAGTGAACCAAAGAGCCCGTTCCGGTGAAACATTTCACCTGGTGAGGGATGCGGTCACAGCCCTGCTCTGCGCTCCATCCTTTGTTCCAGCTGAGAGGAAAGAGAGAAAACGACTTTCAGACGGAGCGCCGTTTTTATCCGAGTCCACGGAGAGGAGGAGCGGTCATCCTCTTCCACTCGCCCGGGTAAACACCACCCCACGACCGGATTCAAACTGTTAGGAGCTCCGTGGCGGCAGGTCCCCTCAGGTCCGACTGTCCGATCTGAGGTCCGGGGAGCGCGAGGTGCATGTCTCCTCCCCTCATCGCGGCAGGTGCGATTCCCCTCAAAGTGTCCGCCATGCGTCCGAGGCAACAAAAACAAACAAAACACCAGGATGAAACTAATCAACACTGAAATGTGCTGCTAGCCGCGACGCTCTGCCTTGTGTTGTCATGAGCTCTTTTTTTTTTTTTACCCTTTTTTATGTCCACATTCTCACCGTCAAACCCGCTCGTTAAGCAGCGCAGAGGAGGAAAAAAACAGCTTATCTCCAGGCGGTTTGTCGCACAGAAACCGGTCAAACGCAGGAAACAAAATGGTTTTATTTTGTCACATTAAAAAAGAATTAAAAAAAAGAGGGGTCTCTCCTTCAGTACACAGCTCAGTACGCCCATCAATTGAGCATCTTAAACGTACAGAGCAACCTAACCTGGGGAGGACGGAGGAATGACAAGCCCGGCGTCCAATTAAAAGTCCGGAAATGGATCCGGGGAGGCGGGAGGACGTGGTTTGGGCTCACCGTGTCTTTGGTAGGCTGCTTCAGTGATCCATCATCCAACAACAGAGACTGAAACTTGTGCAGCTTTACTTCCCTTTAGAATTTAACATGTTTATTTATTATAATCAGCGTTTTAAGATTATAAGGCAAAGCGTATCTTTCATATTTCTTATATATTGCTGTTTTTGAAACTCGTTGAAAAGGTTTTATTCTTTAATAAAAAGGTAGAAGAGCCCAACAAAAAGGGAATTAACTGAAGGGAATAAACAAAACGTGATTATGTTTGGGGAGGGAGCGCGAATAAAAACCACCAAATTAGCCATCTTCTTCTAGTGATTTATTTTTATAGCTATTCTTACACTTTGCAGCTGTTCGTATTATTTATGCATACCCTGTCAAATTATTCAAAGCCAATGTGAAGCCTTTTGTTTGAGGGCAGAATCACTCAGTGTGCGCGCTACACTGCCCCCCTGTGGTCAAAGATGAAAGGATCTCAACTTCACTTAAGTAGGACAAGGAGGGCTGTGTAGTTTTCCTGCTGACGCAAGGTGTTTCCAATTAGGAGACCAAACATAATAATGAGCTTTAATCCACATTATTATTTACAACAATCCTGCTTCCAGAATGCATCTTTGTGACTGGATTATAAAAACCTGTGATGGTCCTATTTTTTTTACTTTTATTCCTTAGAGATCCATAATAATAATAATAATAATAATAATAATAATAATAATAATAATAATAATAATAATAATAATAATAATAATAAAATAAAATAAAGTGGACTTACATTCTGTAATTGAAGAACTGGAGAGTGTGGTGTTCCAAGCTTTAAGCTGCATGCAATGCCTGGTTATACARGTTAATAAATGGCTTCCTGGATGAGGAAAAACTCCATGAAAAACTTGTTAAATCTTCTCTGACCGCTCCAAACAACTTATCCAGACATTTACTCTTGTGTGATGCTAAAATAATTAAATGAATGAGCCAAAACAAAGTCCAACCAATCCAAATAGTTCAACAAAAAAGAGTAAATATAACGTAACACATCCGAAAGGGAGTAAAGCAAATGCTTAAAATTTTTTTTAAGTAAAATAAAATACTTTCTTTGCAATAACGTTCCCCTAAATTTATTAAAAATGTTTTTTTATTTGCTCTATTTTGTTTTTGCTCAAGACATAACCTATCAGTGAAAGCCAAACATAACCTGACATCAGTGTTGCCAGATATGTAATAATTACCATTTATTGTAAAGCCATGATCTCTTTCTCTGCATATGTTTACAAATCACAACACACCTCATCTTACAGTCAGGTTTGGGTCGATATGCAATCATTTTTAAAGGGACTGTACAATAATTTATTTCCTAACTGGCAACCCTGTCTGGTATAAAAACCACAGCAGCAAAACATCATTTTTTTAAACATCATTTTTCATAAGTCAGTCAAACACAGGTGCGCAGAGGGGTTGAGTTCAGGACTGCAGTTAGGTCATTTCCACTCTTTTTACTCCCAAATTCAGGAGGTATTTTCTGATTAACTCTGTCAGTGGGGGTAAGCGTTGTCATCAGACTGTGGAGATTTGGGATTGTTACTGGTGGATCACAGGTGCTGACAATCAGGCATCAATCAGGAACCTGATCATCAGCACCTGGGGCACCAAGAGCTCAAAACAAGAGTCTCCAACAAGCAGAATAAGCAGTCTGAATTTAATACTGTTTTTGAGAAAATAAACAGGATTTCCAACTGTATAACATTTATTACCAAGAATCATTGCTACAACAAATAAATGACTGGTCAAACACAAGTGTTTTTTTTTTATTTTATTTTATTTTTTACTTTTTGTGCTAAATATACCACTATGTTTAT